GTTCCCTATGCCGTACTATTCACTGGCTGCTATTTTAAGTAGAGTGGCCATGGATGCTTCATTCAGGTGAGATGAGTAAAGACATGGTGGAGGTAGGGAACAAGCTATGCAGTGATCTGGGTGGGGGCAGGGGAGGTGAGGGACAAGTGAGCCAGCTTGGTGTGCTCAACAGAAAGCCTAGGTCAGTGGTCGGCAAACTCATTAGTCAACAGAGCCAAATATCAACAGTACAACGATTGAAATTTCTTCGGAGAGCCAAGCATTTTAAACTCTTCTAACGCCACTTCTTCAAAATAGACTGGCCCAGGCTGTGGTATTTTGTGGAAGAGCCACACTCAAAAGGCCAAAGAGCCCCATGTGGCTCATGAGACAATTTGCTGACCACTGATCTAAGCCAAGGACTAAACAAGTTGTGTGTGTGTGTCCCCTGGGGGCCTGTCCACAGCCACGCCTCGGAGGCTAGGAGCAGACACCCCTGTATGTTCTTCTCCCAGGCTTAGGGCTGCACCCAGCCCCTCCTCCTGTCTGTTGTCCCATTACAGGTCGTGGCATAATTTGCATACTATTTCTTTATATATTAAGATAGTGAGAAACAGGTGACAATGTTGAAGCTTGTTTTGGCTACAGACAACCCTATAGATATCTCCACATTTTTGTTTTAAACGTATAGGTCTGGTCAACACTGACTGGAGAGACCGTGCTGGCCATGGTCATGCCTACCTTGCAGGACTGGCTGAGTCTGGCAATGAGCACAGAGGTGCCATCAGCCAGCCCACCTTCCCACTCACAGGTCAGTACTCCCTGCCTTCCCTCACACTCTCCCAGAGGACCTCAATCAAGGCTTCAGGATTATTAAAAGCAGTTCCTCTTCAGGGTCTGGACTGGACATCACCCTCACCAATGACCGGCACGCCAGGGAAAGAAAGCAGCAGTGATGTGAACCTCAGAGAACCTGGTTCCGAGTGTGGACCCTCCTGCTCACCAGCCCCATCACCTCAGGCAAGTCATGGAGCATCTCCAAGTCACAGTTCTCTCTCTCCTGCCTAAACACCAGCTGTCCCACCCATTCAAGGGGGCTACTGTAAAGAACAAATAACATACTTATGGGAAAGCTCTTCTTAATTGATGAAATTATGATTACGTACAGGCACAGGTACCACATAAATAACTGAAGTGGGCTGGCACAGGAAGGCCAGGGCAGCCACGCATCTCACAGCACATGGCACTGAGTTTGGGGAGACAGCGGGGGCACAGAGACCACAGCAGAGTGGAGAGGCCAGGACCGCAAGCTGAGGGCTGCTCGACAGACACAAGGGAGGCTGTGCAATCAGAACTTCCGATTTCCTCAGAGAAACCAGACAGCCAGCTTCCCTTTGCTCGTGAAAACTCCTGATTATTGAAATGTTAGCAACTGTTTTAACTTTTTTAAAAAAATGTATTTTTAATGATTTCCAAGAGAAAAGGGGAGGATGAGAGAGAATCACTGATCAGCTGCCTCCTGCATGCCCCACACTGGGATCAAGCCTGAAACCCAGGCATATGCCCTGACCAGGGATCAAACCATGACCTCCTGGTCCATAGGTTGATGCTCAACCACTGAGACATGCCAACCACTGAGCCATGCCAACCACTGAGCCATGCCAGTTGAGCTATTTCAACAACTGGGCATCCCTGAAAGGCCAAACGCAACGTGCCTGAGGGCCAAACTTGGCCCCGAGGCGCGCTCTGTGGCTGGATGTGCACATTTGGCCCATGCTCCTGAGTTCCGTGGGACACTCAGGGCTGCGCCTTCCCAAAGACCCCCCTGATCGCTGCTGCTCCGCCTGTGCCCTGACAGCGCTTCCATTTCCCCCAGTTCTCCATGCGCCTTCACGTGTGGACACTGTAAATAACTCTCCTCATGAAAAGTGAACTAGGCCTTGAACCAGTCCAGCAGGGTCGCCATCTGGCAGTCCTCAGAAACTCAACTGTCAGCGCTGTAAACATTCTAGACTTCATGGAAGACACTGACTTTTTTCTAACTAATTACCTCTGCCAGTCAAGATCTGCAGTGTGAGTTCAAGAACAAGGCGTTCGGTTAACAACAATAACAAAAACAGCGAGGATGAAAACTGGCCGGCCCTCCCAATGAGAGGCCTGAACGCAAACGGTGACTTCCCTAATAAGGCGACGACCAAAGTTGCTCCCTGGCGGTCCAACACCAATACAATTAATCAGTCTGTTTTCAGTCTTCTCACGACAGCAATATTAACAGTTTGCTTTATTCTGTTTATACGGTGCTGACAAGTCTTCAGCGTGTTGGGCCTACTTGCTGGAGATTAATGACTACTCCTCTACCGAGGTAAAAACCAGGCAAGGAGAGAATGCCTTTTACGACCAGATAAGAGCTGGATTTTTCTTTGCTCTTTTCTGTTGCCCTGCCTGCCTATCAATTCCCCTGTCCTCTAATTTCTGTCGAGGATATGTAAGAGCAGTAGGTCCCAGAGGTTCTTCTCATGGTTTAAACTCCTCCACTCTTGTTGTGTCCCCAGGTGACACAAAAGGAACCTTGGAGAAGCTTCTCATCTCTAAAGGTACTGGCAGCTAATTGTTCTAAAAAGACTGATGCCATAGAAAAGGGAACGACAGGTAAGAGATGACCTCTGGCAACAGCATCTTAGCATATTAGGTGGGCAATGGTTCTCCTTTGATTCTGTGGTTATTTTTGTAGACACTAAAGTAGGCAGAATTGATATGAAGTATGGCCCAGCCCAGAAAATCTTAGACATCTTTCATTAAATAGTCATATTTCAAAATTAATAATTTGAAATCATTCAAGAAAACAAATCCCCATACCACTGCCCTCCAAAGGCTGTAGAAAGAATGCTTGTATGTTTTGCTCTGTGCCAGGTTAGAAAGACATGGTAACCTCCAGCCTATAAATTCAGAAAAACTATAATAACAAAATTAATTACTTGTGTGTAAAGTGCAAGGTATTTGAGAATATCTTGTAGAGCAATGTAATGAACCAGATTTGGACAGATCCTGAATCCCATGCTTGTTCTTTAATCATTTGTCTTGTTTGATTGGGAAGAAACAGATAGATTAGACAGAAGGGTACTGCAGTATCCTGAGACTAAACCAGGTGCTGTACTGGAAGTGAGGAGAAGAGGACAGATTTGAGCTTATCCCAGAAACAGAACCAACTAAATACATCTTTTTCGGCTGATTAAATTTGTTATTCAGCTGCTATTTTTAAGGGGTCTGGATGGGTCAGACACTGTGCTAAGTGACATACGGGAAGTGAGGAAGAGAAGAATCTGAGGACGACTCCTTCCTCAAAATCAGGGTACTGGCCGCTGTTCAGTGGTCTGAAGTGGCACCATAATACCCATTCACCCTCCCTCCTTCCATCCGACATTTAGTAAGCACCCATCTTGTGCCAGGCACTGCGCAACAGAATGGTCATGAACAAGCCCAGAGAAGAAAAGCCGAGGGAGAGAAAAAAGTTCCTGTATTCCTTCTCACAGAGTTGGGGTGGGAGTGCCTTCTCTCCAGAACCTCCATTCCTTTCCTGGTGGCCTGGCCATGGCGCAGTACAGGGTGGTAAACCACTGGACTGCGGAAAAGCAGAGGTATTCTTAGTCATCCATATGGAGGGAGGGTCTCCTATTTAATTTCTATATGTGTGCCCTGATTTGGCATATTTAACCAAAGTAAAACTGTATCAGAAAGGTATTTAACATAATTCCCATGTGCAGATTTTAATATTACCTAAGCATATCGGCTCAAGAAAAATTAGCTCTGAGGAAAGCCAAAAAGTACTGAAAATACTCTGAATGTTAAAATTCTTGCATATAGTTTAGTTGGTAAATTGGTTTGAGACATGTAATTCTACTGCCTTTTCCGGAAAGCCCTGATATTTTAGAATTAAGATGTGCCTAGACTTTATAGCAACAAATCCTGACCACTTTCTAAAAAAAAATAACTAGGCAGTAGAATGACTACCACTGAGAAGTATTTTGCTTTATGGCAACTGCCTTTTCATTATTATTTTATGAGAGCTTGTCTACATATTATGTATTCTTCACCATCTACATTGAATTCTTTTAAAAATGTCGTCTTCGGATGCCTGGGGTCATGTCAGTGTCAATGGATCTAATTGGATCTCAAATAGCAAACTATATCACTTCTAATATTTCCAAAGGTACTTATGCACATAGGTGTACCTCCAAAACCCATGACTAATGTATGCCTTGGTCATTTCTATTAAAGCAAAAAAAAAATTTTAAAGGTATTTTTAGGGACTTATGAACACCATCAACAATTATGTCAAGTATAAGCTAGTCTATATAAGCCAAGAGTGAACATTTAAATGCCAATAAAATCTCACTGTAAAAGGAGGAATTTGATGAGAGCAGGCACGTTTTCACTCTGATTCGATTTTGAGATCCGAGCTCCATATGGACTTGTGTGTTCTCTGAACTCGCAGGCAACAAGCTGTAAGGAGCTTGAAAAGGCCGAACCTGGGCGTTTCCGTGGCAGCCCTCCTGCCTGCATCCAGGAGCAAGTCTCTCTCCATGAAAAATAAGATTTGCATAGCCACCTACCCACTTATTTCCCACTGAAAAATGCTTTTTAAGTTCTGAAATATTTCAAACATGCTTATTTTTACTGATGATAAATAGGAACTGAAAGTGGGAAAAACTCCACAGAAGTGATCCACGGAGAGACACTGCCACCGTCATTGGCTTGTTAACCGGCAGGTAAGAGAAGTCTTCACTGTCCCAGGAACCTGGGCCTTGGGTCAGTCACCTGCAGTTATGCTGAGAAATTACTTCCATTTTGCTTGGCTCAATCTGATAGAGGGCCTCAGAGGAAAAAGCCCAAGATGAGCCCGGAGGCAGAACCACAGGATTCCAGCCGCTCTGTGCTGGAAAGGCCCTTAGAGATCATGTCACCACCCTCCCCGGGCAGGAAAGGAAAACAAACTGGAGCCACCTGACATGTGTGGCTCTTACCTGCGGCGCAGGTCCTCGGCCACGGCCGCCCGGCAGCTGAACAAATAGGCGCGCAGCGACTTGAGCCGCTGCCGCAGCCGCACCACGGTGGCCAGCGGCTCGGCGTGCAGGTACAGCAGGGGGTTCTCCTGCTGGATGTCGATCAGGGGCTCCTCGTACACGTACTCCAGAAACTCTTTGGCCTGCTTAGACACCTGCAAATGCAACGCCTCCATCAGTGCTGCTGGCTCATCCGGCTGTCCACCCCGCCTCAAACTCCAACCGCAGCTTAACCATCCTAGCCAAGTGATGAGCCCAAACTAAATGTGAAGTTTGTCTTCCTTCTCTCTTCCAGAAACTCAACTGGCATTAATGAAAGGAATGCATTAATTCTATATCCTGAATACCAGCATCTACACACATGATAAAATGACACAGAACTACACAGACCCAGTATACCAAGGTCAGTTTTGTTTGTTTGCTTTTTAAAAAATATTTTTTAATTATTTAAGATGTAACCAATGGGGAAAATTAGGTGAAAGGATACAGGGCTACTGTGTACTATCTGTGACTCTATAATTATTTCTAGAAAAAGGTAAAAAAAAAAAAAAGGGGGGGGTGGGATGGGGGGAAGGAAATTTAGACTCCCTGATTTTAAAAATACATGTATGTATATCCTATACCACTTTTAAAAAATAAATATGTGCAGAATAATTTCAATGCATAGAAAAAATAAATATGTGCAGAATAATTTCAATGCATAGAAAACAAACTCAAATACACACTTTTATTTTTTTAACTATATACTCATATATATTTTTTATTTTATTTTTTTACAGAGGAAGGATAGAGAGTGAGAAACAATGAGAAACATTGATCAGCTGCCTCCTGCATGCCCCCTTCTGGGGATTAAGCCCACAACCAAGGTACATGCCCTTGACCAGAGTCAAACTGGGACTCTTTAGTCCGTGGGCCAATGCTCTATCCACTGAGCCAAACCAGTTAGGGCTCAAATACACACTTTAATGAGCAGAAATGAGTTTTTCTTATCAGAACAACTTGGGCTGCCTCTAGCATATTCATCCAATTCTGTATCTACATCTGGTAGTAAACAATGAAAGTTGACTAAAAAATATCACTCATCAGTAAAAGTAAGTAGTAGAAACATAATGCGTCCAAGAGAGGGGCGGGGGGGGGGGGGGTTTGCTTAAATAATGCGTGACACATGGGTAATCTGGGGGCCTGTACATTCTAATTCGCTGAGACATGGACTCACTACTGCTACATAGAATTGGTTAGCTCTATTTATGAAAGGTAAAAACTTCTTCACCAAGTTCCCTCCAAAACCTCTCTAGTACTGGGAGTAAGGCAGGAATTCACCATAAAAACAAACAACTTTGCTTATGAAAAAGAAAATGGAAATCCACTATGTTTCACACTCCAGGTTAGAAGCTTATTACTGAAGTTAAATAGGATACAGGCCCTGCCTTCAAGGGACTCACTGTTTACACATGTGTCAAACACAAGGCCCGCGGGCCAAATCCGTTCCGCCAGGCCTTGCAATGTGGCCCACACCGCGCTGTCATCACTGCACTCCGCTGCGTTTCCATCACAATGACAGTTTATGACTGTTCAGTAAACCATTCGGCCCGCGATTTAGGCTGGATTTTAGATTTTGGCCCCTTCTCTGAGTTCGACACCCCTAGTTTAGGACAATAGACAAATACTTAAAGTATTCACATAGCACATGGCCTGTCATCTACCACGAAAGAACAATGAGTGAGATCCACAGGTAACAAAGGAGGGAGAAATCACCTGTGCTGCTGGGGAAGGGCGGTTAGGAGCCAGGCAGGCCTGGCAAAACAGGTGACATTGGCTTATGGTCTAGGAACAGATTCACTTGGTGAGCAAGGATGGGGCAGAGGAGAGTGCAACAAGCAGACACAGCCAGGAGAACTCATCCATATGCACATGTGATAACTAAATGTATGGCTACTGCATGTTGATTAAAAAGAGATGTTTATGAAATTCAATATTATCATTTACTTTGATTATAAAGCTCATAAAAGTTTATGCTCCTTACAGAGAAGCAAAATAGGAGTCATTTTTTTTCTATTAAAAGTATAACTTTTTCCCCCTTAAAAGCAATTATTTTTGAGGTACCTGCTGTGCTGTGTAATCCTCTGGGGTCCTGCAGAGCTAGAATTAATGACGTTTACAGTCTCTGTAACTCCAGCTCCCGAGACGCACCTCGCATCTGCCAAAGCCTGTGACTGTTTTACCAGATTGGAAAGAACTGCTGGCCTCGCTCTGAGGCAGAGGCAGGTACATGCCAGACCTGGGCCCTTCCTCCTGGGGCTCACAGCTCAGTGGGGAAAGACAGGATCGGGTTCAGATAGACTTTATTTATCCTAGCTCAATATTTGCAATATTTAAATATCTTAAAAGAGGGAAAAACGAACGGTGTTCTGGAAAATGCAGCACAGCCCACTTGAAACTGTTGCTGGAAATGATGTATTGTACAATTCAATTAGTCTTCCCGGCCCCATTGAGCAGTGTTTACACTGAGCCAGGGCCCCGCTGCAGCAGGCTAACAATGCTACCTTTTAGTAGGTGAACAGAAGGACAAAGGGCACTGGCCAGTCTCCCAGGCCTTAAAAGGCTTCTCTCTTCAGGTGGCACTTAAGCCCGAAAGGAGGGGGGGAAAGAGTCTTTCACAGAGACAGTAAAAGCAGCAAGACAAATGGGACAGCAGCTACTGACGTCAGCATTCATAAACTGAAATCACTAAAAACAAAAACAGCTCGTTTCAATCACGGCCGAGGCGCTGCCCCGCGGGTCATTAGCGAGTGTTAGGAACACAGGGCGTGTTGTGACGGCGGCTGCCGGGTGTGCGAACGGCTCCCCGCAGGCCGAGCCGTGGCTGGCAGCCGGGCCGAGCACATGCGTGCCTTTGAGAATCAATCATGTGCTCTGGTGAGGACATTTCTGAGAGGGCTCCAAATGCAGCAGGAAATGCCATTTTTTTTTTGCAAAAGAGAGCACTTTCGCCCCTAAGTTCTAAATGGGCCTGCCTGCTGGTGTGAGGATTCCTTTCAGACTCCACTGTAATTTAAAAGCTTTTCAAAGGAGAAAATGTTTAAAAATATAGAGTTACTTGGGGAAGGAAGCCAATGGCATTCTGAGGTGATAAAGTTTATGTGACGGAGTTTCTTGTTCATATAAATATTGCGTGAGTTATATGTGAATGCCGAGTATATTTCACCTAAAAGCTACTGTCCTACTTCTTGCCAACTAAATTTGTGGAAAGTCAGAGTGAAAACAAGTGCAGATGGATGAACCCAATACGCTTTCTTTTTAAAAAATGAACGCTTTTACTTGGCACTCTTTCCATGACCCCATTCCATTCGCATTAGAAACAGTTTTACAGGGTCAACAGTTCACTGACCTATTAGTGTTTTACTAAATAATACGTAGTGTTTATTACTAACATAAATGAAATTTTTTCAAAGCTCTCTCTTTTACCTTAGAACAAAATAGTTTAAGCCAGGGGTGGGAAACCTTTTCCTGCCAAGGATCATTTGGATATTTATAACATCATTCGCTAATATAATTCACTTAATATAAACTTACATTGCTATGAAAAAAGCTCCTAGATTTATTGAATTTTAAATAGGAATTCCGTAAGCGGTTGCCTTGGCAGGGCCAGACCAAGTGATTTCATAAGCTCTATCCAGCCCGCGGGCCAGACGTTCCCCACCCCTGGTGTGCTGCAATCTGTGAGGGGGTTCTTTTTCCCACAGCCCTGCATCTACGTGATTCGCCTTATTTAGAGGAAATAAAGCGGGAAGGGACAGCTAGAGGCAGCACAGTGACAACAGACATGACAGCCGACATCTGGTACTAAGGGAAGGAGGACACCTGCAAGACGATAGAAGATAAAAGAACAGCACAGAACCTCACAACTGTACATACCTACACCTAGGAAGTTATCTGCAGGGAGTCTCACTCATAAATGAAAGAATTTATATTCAAAAGGATGCATAAAGCTATTCATTGAATCACTGTCTAACAGCAAAAGATTGGGAAAACCTAATGTCCATTAAAAAAACAAAAAAAAGTCAGGTTGGATAAATTGATGTGTGTAAAATTCATGATGGAATATGGAATGGCTATTTAAAAAAAAAAAAAAGCCCAAAGAAGAGTTTTATGATCTAAATGGAAAGCTCTCCAAGAGCAGCTTGTGTACTATACTGCTTCCTGCCACTTCTGTGTAAACACAGGCCTGGGAAATGACCTCTGGAAGGATACACAAGAAGGGAGTAATTTGCTTGCCTGAGGGAAGAACAGGGAGGGAGATTACATATATATATGTGTGTGTGTGTGTATATATATATATATATATATATCCTCTGTACTTCCTGAATCTTGGAATTTGTGAAAGAATAAAAACCTAGCGGAAAAACAGCCTCCCACACCACATTAAAGCACGTGGAGATTTTCTATCGCAGGGCAGAACAATCATAATTCTAATTCTGAGGCATTAAAAAGAATACATTTTAATTCATATTTTGTTAAAGTATATAGAACTAAGTCCCAATTTACAAAAAAGTATTGAGAGAATAAAAATTGAAAAAGGAAAGAAAAATAATTTTCCCCACAAATAACCACTCATTGCTTTGGTATGAGGTTTTCTTCCCATCTCTGAAACATCATGGGGAAGCCTGTCTTACTGAAATCAATCCCAATCATAACACTTCTAGGTCCTGTTAAAACAGGCGCTGTGGGCTAATGGAGGAGGAATCAGGAGATCTTAAGTTTAATTACAATTTGTTCTCCAAATCTCCAAATGACTCTGAACGAGTGGTTTTCCCCATCAACGACTATGCTCCAGCTCTGCATGCCTCTCAAAGTGTCAGCGATAGGAAATGGTTTACGTAACATGGAAAACCCCTAGCGAAATGGAATGTGGCTGTTCTGGCTAGGATACAAAAATCTCTTGAAAAAGTACAACACGGGGGAACTGTTAGGAGGAGTTGAGGCTGAGTTCCTTCCCATTTCTTTCTCATGCTGGTATTTTTGAGTGGGGGTGGCGATGGAGGGAAGTTATAGTCAACGAGAATTTCATTAGAAAATGTGAGGAGAGGGCTTAGCTGCAGGCTAATCCTGGAGCTCAACTCGATTTGCAGGATGTACACCAGAAAACAGATGAAATCCTGCTTTAAAAGTCATTAGGATTATTACTTCTCCAGAGGGCAGACAAGGAAACGCTTAAGATGACAGACTTCATCCTGCTCTGCAAAACCCTCTTTCGCTGGCTTCCACGGCCAGTCACGTACTCACCATGAGACAGAGCAGGCAGATCTCACAGAAAGATGTCTGGTTTTAGAAACTGATAGGTCTGAATTGATCCTCCCAATTAGGAATATTAAGTTAAATCTGCATCTGAGCAAAGATAGACACTGCACTAAATGGAATATAGTTGCTTAATGCCTGTGAGAGATGATCCAGATAAAATCGACCAGCTCTATTCTTGCTTTAAACTCTCCTGCTGTTCACTGACACCCTGAGAAGGATGGTCTGACACAGCAGATCCTCCTCACATGCGACATGGAGGAAGGGAGGGAGCCCAGCATCTCAACCCGTTACCTATTCTCTCAAAATCAAGCCCTCACACTTGAATGACCACCATGGCAAATGCCTGCTGCGTAGAGATTGCAGGTGTCAGCGATGGCTAAATGGATGGTTTGGGTGGCCTTCACAGCTATCTGCAAACAGACCCGGATTTCCTCCTCCTTTCACATCTCCATAAACCATGCCAGAACTGCTCATTTTCCTCACCAGTGGCACCTTTTCTGCTTTAGCTCAGCTGACTGGCATATATTCCGCTGGCATGTGCCACAGCCTAAGCCCTCAGTGATCACAGGGCTAGGACTGCCTCACTCACTTGCTCTCTACACACCTCTCACCTCTCTTGGCTGTCAAATCCCTGCTCCAAGCAGATTAAACTGTCTAAACCAAATTCAACTTGGTGTTCTTTCCTTCTCAGTAAGTTTTTATCTAATACACACAGGACAAATATATTTATAGCCTATACGCAGAGTGTCAAGTACAAGATGCAGAGGAGAGAATGATAACTGTCTGGGAGAGGAAATGAGGTTTAAGCTGGGTTTAGGATTTGCTGTGCTGAGTGAGGGCAAGAGGTGTGAGACGGCAGGACTGGGGATAGGGAGGCGTGTGATCTTACTGGAGAGACTCGTGGAGGCAGGGAGGTAGTGGGCGAAGGGGCTAGAAAGGCAGGGTCTAGAGGTCACAAAGGTCTCTGTGTTAAGCTAAGATTTGTATTGACCTTATGTACAATCATGTAAAAGCTGCCATTAACTGGGCACTTATATGTACCAGGCATTGCCCGACGTGCTTTCTGTGAATCATTTAAGCAAAGAACCACCTTATGAAATAGGTACTATTATTATTATCTCCACTCTGAATGTGAAGAAACTGAGGCTGAGGAGAGTATAAAATTTACCCACGGTGAGATTAGGGCTTTTTTTGAAATATTGTTGGGGCAAGACTTGAAAGCAGAAAGCACAGCTAGGAAGCTACTGAATTCCATCACATGAGTGATGCTGAGGGTTCAAGTTAGTGTGGACAAGTGGTGGCTGCAGTGGAGAGCATGATCTCAAGAGCTATAACTGCACATGATTTCTGCTAACTGATTAGGGGCGGGGGTGGGGGCAGAGAGGCGTCCAGTAGGTCTCCCAGCATTGACAGTGGTGACTGGTGGAGCCATGTGTACTTGGGGGGACATTTGGGAGGTGATAAAGCCCGCTTGGGGCGTACTGAAACTGAAGTGCCCACAGGATAGGCTAGTCAGACCAGGTAACAGACTTCGCTGCTATGTGGCAGGCACAGCACCATAAAAAAAAAAAATCCTAAGCCTAAAGTGCCACTCCAGTGTGGGGCTGGATTCCTCGCCTTGCCAACTCCTAGCTCCTGCTAGGAAGGTGGTTTATGGAAGGGTGGAGAAGCTGTACAAGGTAGCTAACCAACCAGATGGCTAGAAGACAGCTAGGTTTAACACTAAAGCTGGGATGTCCATTAGGAATTAATTACCTCAGACCTCACTTTCAGCAGCAAAGCTGGAGCTAGAACTGGGAATAGGCACGTGAGTTCTGGTAGGGATGACCACAGAAGGAAGAGAGAGAACACGGCAGAGTAGAAAGTGGGAGAAGATCTTGTAGCTTTTATAAAACTACCTCATCAAGTTCGCTACGAATTCTCATGTCATTATCTTAACAATCCACGTGACGGCATGCAAGGGTTGCCGTGATGAAGCGCGCAGAGTCTCTGCGCCTACCTTGTACTTGGACGTGTCCCAGTTGTGGACGAGGCGTGCGGGGATGAGGAAACTGTCGTCCACGTGGCAGGTGCCGCAGTAATACCAGCCGCTGTAATTGCACACCTTGGCTTTCCCATGGGAAAGGCCAATGGATCGCTGGCATCCTGTTCCAGACAAAAGCAAAGGTCTGTGATTATTGTGCCTTTAACAGCACGGACAAGGCGGCCCAACCCTCACCTCAAGTTAAACAAAATCCCACAACAGGACAGAGGTCACAGAGAATCCATGTATACGCATGCTCCCTCCCCTGGAGGACCACCGAAACTGGTCTGATTTCTGGCCTGATTCCAGCTCTTCAGCAGGTAAGCCTCCCTGTACCCCACGTGCTCCTCCTTGCTTCCCTCAGAGACCCTGTTTTCACGAGGCTCTTTGCTGGGGCTCCTCACACAGGATCTCATATAAGTCACACCTTTCTGTGAGAGAGATATCAGCTATAGTGCGCAGATGAATACACTAAGGTTTTAGCCAGGTTGTATATTTTGTCTTGAGGTCACCCAGCTATTAAGAGGTGGAGTTGGATTTGGCTCTATTCTTGCCTGACTCTAAAATGATCCTAAAAACTGATAGGTAGAACCTTCCTTTGCTTCTGAAATAAACTAAAGGAATCTGTCCATTAATTGACCTTCAACTCATCTTTCCTACTACCTACTCCTAATGCTTATTCTCCATTGGGAATATAACCTCTTTGTTCCAGTCAGAGAACTCTCCACACTGTTCCCCAAATAAATAGTGTGCCCTCTCAACCCTCCATATCTTGGTGCACATTATTTCTCCTCACACAAGGTCCTTTTCTTCAATCTCTACTTTGCCAAATCCTGCCGATTACTCAAGGCCATTGGTTGCCTGCGAGTGATGGCTAAGGCCCTTTTCATGTCCAAGGAAGTCCATGGTTCTGTGAGCACTGCCTGGTACCATCAGGGACCTGGTAATAACCATGGCTCTGCCACGGAGGAGCCATTGGTTTTTAGGTGGAACTACCTCCTGCTGGTGAGTGTAGAGACTCTGTCACTGTCAATCCAATAGACAAAACCCAGGTCAGGTAGTCATGATTACATCAACAGCAGCAGCTTTCTGACATTTTTTGATTTACAGCTTTCATTTTAGAACTCCTTCCATATGGCCCAGTTCATGATTGGGTGCTAAGAACTACATTTTTCAAAGAAGTCTCACATTAAGCCAATTTCATCTATGGGTACAAAATAAAGTACTACTGCTATAATCATCATCAGTGTTGCACCCATTTCCATTAGAAGGAAATAAAACACATTTATTTAACAAATCCCCAACTAAAGCAGATACTGATTCACTTGAATAGCCTGCATAAAGGATGACAAAGCTCACAGAACTCACTGTCATCACAGATAAAACAGCATCCGTATTTAAGCTGCTCCACAGTGCGTGGGCCAGAGAGAGAGATCCTGTTTTTAAATAGAGGCATGGAAGACAGAAGTAAATGTGTTGGTGTTAGGCTTCAAGAGCTCGCTACTCTTCCTTCCTAGAACAGCAACGGAATCCGAGCTCCTGAGGAATGAGGTATGTGTGAAAGATAAGGAAGAGCCCAACACACAGGGCGCTTCTGTGGGACGCGCGGGAGGTGCCGTCACAATCACTAGCTCTGAACACTGGAATGCTGTCTGCTGCCTCCCCAACCACACTGCCGTCAACTCGGTGGCCTCCTCCTGTGCCGGGACAGCCAGAACCACCCTGCCAAACGTCTCCGGTCTATTTTTTATCCTCGGCACTTCACACAGGCTTTTCACAAGCAGACCATCAATACGTGTTTGTGTGGAAGGGAGGAGAAACGGAATACTTAGCATACGTACAGCCACATGCTTACACAGAAATCTTAATTTCCCATGGTTGCTCTGGAATGGACCCTGCTCTCCTGGCGCTGCCTCTTGAAGCAGGCTACTTTTGTTCACTTCCTTATGAAAATACGTGGCCTGTCCTAAGAACTCCTCATTACGCACGTGCTCCTATGTGGACTATGCGACAGAGTTGAGTGGACCGGGACATATTCTAGACACTGGGACGCTGCAGTTCCCAAAAACAGGCGGTCCACTGACTGAACGCTGAAGTGAGGCTGACTGGAACTCAGCCTCCCCTGACGACTGAGAAAGCGATCCTGATCTTGTGGAAATTCAGGATCACCATCACAGTTGAAACTCTTCACCACAGAATACTGTAAAAACAAATGTAGGTTATTTTATCTTTCCTGATTATTTGAGTATAATAAACATCCGTAAGCATTTGCTGGATAATCATATAAGCTTCAGTAGGTAGTACTGTGTTTTTCAGTCTGTGCTTTTTAATGACTTTATTATCGTTTCCTAGATGGAACGGATGTAGGCAATATTAAAATACACAAATGTGCACTCTAAGAGAGCATACAGCCTAAAGATGTATATCTCAGCCAGGCACACGTGTCCATGTGCTGGGGCTCAACTACATGAGCTAACAACTGAGCTAACCAGCCTTACCTATTTGCATTGGTCTCCAGGCTCACAGGAAAGAGAACAGACAACACGGCTCAGGTTCCTTCAGGTTTTAGTTTAGATAGAGGCCCCAGCACAAAACCTCCGACCGCTAGACCTTGGTGTCTTTACCTTTATATCCTATGGAGAACCATTCTCTCCTAATCTTGGAGATGAAATCTCCCCTCGTAACAGAAGTAGTTTCAACCTACCCTAACGGTCCTGCCTCAGGCCGTTCTGGATACATGGTACGGACGGACGGACAGCACAAGTCGAGTCAGAAAGCTTGTTCTTGCCTCGGGTACCATGGACGTCTGACCCACCAACTCTCTGGGCCCGCGTTCCTCCCTGCAGAATCAATGGCTAGCCTAAATCGGCAGTTTCCCAAATTTGCTGAGCATCAGCATTTTCCAGAAACGTTTGTGAAAAGCGTAGACCCGCCCCAGAGGTTTTGATTCTGTAGACTGGAGTAAGGCCAAGGAATGTGCATTTCTACCCAACCACCCCAAGGAGCTGAGGCGGTAAACACAGCGCTGCTCCCTGGTCCCCAGGTGACTGCCAAAGCCCTCCAAACTCTAGCGATATAATTTGATTCAAGTAAAGTGCATTTTCCCAGTGAAAAGCTCAGAATGTATCACACTGTTGGCTTACTTTCTAGGCTTCCAAAATCAATATTTCAGGTTCTCAATCTATTTCCAAAACTTTGCTGAACAGGAACAACCTGAGTTCACTGTACTCGTGTTGTCTCAGAGCTTCCATTGTTCCCACTGAGAAGAATCTTAGTTGACTTAGAAAGAATGAAAACTTTCCGTCTTCAAGTCCAATGAAAGAACAGAGGGTGGTCGGGAAAGATTAGAAGCTAGTTGGTAGGTAGCCTGATGTCGATTCATTTTCTAAAACCAACACACACTGTTTATTTGAAGAAGGAAACACCCATTCTTTCAATTAACTGCAAGATTTCCTTCTTCAATATACTAGCAAATCACAGGCTAAAAAAATGTCTGAAACAATTCCGTATAAAGATACAGAATCTGGGATTTCACTATCATTGTAAAGTTTTTAACAGAGGGGAAATGTGTTTTCTCAGTAATTTCTGTTAGGAAAACATTTTTTTGGAGGGGGCCAAAGCTGGACTCTGACAAGCAACATTATGGGGAGAAAACTAGAGCTGGGAAGCAGAAACAGAAAGTAATTAATTGAAATAACTAATTAGAGCTTATTTACATATTATATTTGTATGTACTTTCAAACAGACTTTTCAACAATGTTTCTAAATTAAAGGGCATTTGTAGTGGGGAACACTCCACATGTTGGATCAAAGCAAACACATTCTTCCCAGTCTCTTTTTGAAACTTTTCAGAGAGTATTCAATTCATAGGAACAAAAAACTATCTCACAAGAGAACCCACTGGCCTTTTTTTTTTTTTTCCTATTTTATTGCTTCCCACCCCACTTCAAATCTCTAATGAACACATGCTCTGAAGAGGTTAGCTTCCCCTGATGCACTTGGGGAAACAAATGTAACCATTTAACCCAAGTCCTATTTGCTGCATGGAAGTCCGCTTCCCAAATGGCCTTTTAAGACACCCCCAAAGAATCCGTTGCTGGGGGCTGGAGCAGAAATTTTGGCCTGACGCTCCGCAGAGGCACAACCTTTCTTCTCACAAGTGTACCCAGCTAGCTCAATGGGCTGCGACGTGGCGTTACTGAGGGAGCTCCGAGGGGGAGCCGGCCAGCTTTTCTCCGCATGGCTCCCAACTCAGCCCTGCAGCCCCTGGCCAGCAGCTGGGAAGTTCATGGGCCTAAGAGAAAAGCAGCAGGGCTCCGGCTGGGCAGGTGACTCTCACTGAGGAAAGTACACACACAGCCATGCTACTACCACCTTTACCCAGCTTGGTAAGGTAGGCCCCGTGGTTTGTATTTGGACGGTAGAAAGCTTTAAGGAGAAAACAGGAACAAAGAAAAACAAAAACAAAAACCGAAGGTACCTCTATAAAAGGGAGGAGAAAAAAGAGTGCGAGGACAAGTTTTCACTTGCTCCGTTAAAATAGAAAAAATGAAACTGGCAAGTTGCTTACCCGCTTTCGCTGTGGGCACACCGGGTTGGGAGAGGGGTCCCCGGGAGAGGGAAGGGGACTGCCCTGTCCCTCCCTCCCCGGTCTGTCCATTGTCCGGCATGGGGCAGCGAGCTGTGGTAAACATCGTGCAAACTGTGCCTTGATCATGCTTTAGAGGCCAGAATTGCCAAAAAGAAGAAAAACAGAAATGGGGGGGCAATGACTTGCTATTTTATGATTAGCGGGGGGAGGGCAGAAGCATAAAGAACATAGGCTTCCTAGCTTCCAGTCTGTAACCATGGCCTCTCTGAGTAGTTAAGAGTTAAACACGTACTTTTAAAAATAAGGTGTCACGTTAGGTATACAATGGAAAATTATGTTTGGCGAGCCTGGCATCAGCACAAAGCTGGGCACAGCGCTGGACCGTTGGAGAGAGAGCAGAGGCACTTTGTTTGCCATGTGGCTCTGGTGCCCATGAAAGGAAGCGGAGGCTGAGCAAAGCTGGGGCCGGCCTGCAAACCCCGCTGCGGGAGGGGCGGGCTCGGATGTGTCCTCAGGGTTAGGTAACCCGCG